TACATGTATAGTTTTTTGTCACATGTCGAGAATTACCTTGGGTGCATGGTTGTTTTTGTTATTCTGTCTGTAAATGATATTTTGGAAATTCCAAAGATTTTTCTTTTTGAAAGTGACTCTCAAGTTTCTTATTTAATAATTTATTTTAATAGTAAAAAATATACACATTGCATTAATGAAGTTCAAAAGATTTTTTTTTCTTATTTTTTACGAGATTCCATCTTTTTTTGTATCTCAAGTAGTAGAATTTGTTTTATCTTTGAAACATAAAATATACACAACATATTCACCCTATGGGAATTTAATCACATCACTCAGTTGATATTTGTCTCATTAACTTATTAAACATGAGTTTTGATTGCATATATATATATATATATATAATTTGATTCTAGAAATGTTGATATTTGTTTATGCTAATAGCAACTTTGTAGAAAATATATTTACGCCTCTTTTGAGAAGAAAAAAAAAAATGTGAATTACAAACATTTTGAAACCTACAAAAAAGAATTGCAATATATAAGATATGATAAATATTATAAACTTTTTGCATTTTATAAAACAATACCTCTGGAGATGGATCTTGTGGAAAGTCTAGACGACAATATTATTTATATCATATAGAAAAAAAATGTATTTTCCTCGTTTTTCCCTCAAACCTTTGTACTGATTTTTTTTAGTATAAAGCTAGTTAGTGAGGATCTTGAATTTAAACCAACAAAAGCATTTGATAGTTGTGGCCCCTCACCTTGATCTCTAAGTATTAATACCTCCTTATTAAGTACATTTATATATATATATATATATATATATATATAATTTTTTTAAAAAACTCTAAAAGTAATGTTGACAATATTAATACAAGCTTATTAGAAATCCAAGATTCAAAATATTGATACTTATTTAATAAATTCCAATATATTTTTGTAGGACTTAGAAAAAGAATAGAATTTTATGATATTTAAGTCATCTTTAAGATGGTAGTATTGATTCTTAGACAATAATTTGAATCTAATCTTATATTATTTTTTTAATAAACTACAACATTCTACCAATGTTCTAGCAAAGTCAACAAATCCATATACAAACAAGAAGAAAATACATAGTAGAATTTGCATTGTGCTATAGCTTTTTGAAAATTTCAAGAAAAGTAATATATATATATATATATATATATATGTAGTACTTGTTAAATATTTTAATTTTATTTGATTCTTTTTTCTACAAATTTTAAATTTTGAACTATAATTTTATTTTTCCTTAGATATTCTAGAAATTAATTCAAATTGACTACCGGTATTTTTAAGATTATTATAACCACATGATTTTTATTGGACTATTTATTAGTAAAAAAAATAATAAAATGAAGAAATTTGGAATTAAATATTTTACTATATAAATTAGACTATATTTCTAATAAAAGAGTTAATAAAAAAATATTTTGTTTTGAACATATTCAATTGATTTATTATTATTTTTGTTAAACTAATACAAATTATAGATGTGATTTTATACATATATGATTCTATTTCTTTGATAGTTATAATGTTTATTAAAGAAGAATATACAACAATCATTTCTAAAATTCTAATAATAACTTCATCAACTCTTATAAGAGTTTTAAATGTATACTTAACAAGATTGGTAATTTTAACTAGAAGAAAATCATTTATCTTTAAATACGAACTTTGAAATTATTTATCTTTTTAAAATTATATTTTTAAATAAAGAATATTGTATATTTTTCTAAAAAAAATAATTAATATCAATATATATATATATATATATATATATATATATATATATACGTTTCTCTATAAAATAATATCCTACTTAAAGCATTAATTATCTTATCAGTACTATTTGTTTTTAAAATTTACATTTTACATGATTTTTAGTATTCCCTCCATATTTTTTTTTGTATCTCTTACAAAAATCATAGTTAATTTTTTTAATATTTTTTTCTCTCTCTATCTCTCTCTATATTTCCATAGTATTGAAAAATTGGTGTTGCAATTATTTTATATATTAAATAAGAATGTAATTTTTATATTATTTATTTTAATAAATTTTTATTAATTTAAAATCTGAGTATTTCAATATGAAAATTTAAACATATTTGAACTAAAATGAAAGTATTAATTAATAAAGAGCTACCATATTATTAAAAATAGTCTTGAAAAACTCATCTAAAGTTTTGTCCAAAGTTTTTCATTAGTTTTTTGAAAATCTTAAATTTTCTTGCTATAACATCAAATTACATAGTTATTATATATAAAATTTTTCTTATTTGAATTTAAATCCTAAAAATTATTTATAAAATAATAAAAAATAAGTTTACTAATATAAATAAGTTTAATAGTATTAATTTATTAATATATTACTTAATTTTAATATATTATATAAAAATATTTACTAATATAAATAATTTTAATAAATTTATATTAAATATAAAACTTATTTTATATTTTTTAAATTTATATCTTATTATTTATTTCAATAATATATTTTTTAAAAAATTTAATTACCACAAATTCTTTTAAAATAATTTAAAATTTATAAATTATATTTAATAACTAGTATTCAATAAGAGAAATAGAATTCAAATTTTATTTTAAAATAACCAAGCCAATTTCTATTCTTTGATTATTTTAATATGTTTTTTTATTTAACATAATGCTACTTAATATGGTGAAACATTCTAAAATAATCATACTAAATTAACTTTACTTAATGTTGAATGATGGGCCTCAAGAAATAAAAAAATTAAGATTTATCTTATATATATATATATATATATATATATATATATAGTCTTCCAAAATTTTAGAATATGCCATTTTTTTTTTAATAAACTGTCTCAAGTTTTTTTATCTTTTTGCTTTTTATAACTTAAAATCTGATAAACTTTGGTTAAGTAATCAATAATTCAAATGTCATAATTAATGATTTGTTAACACATACTCTTTACCTCATTTTTGGTTTTAATTCAATTTATAAAAATTTAGCTAAATTGTTTATGCCTGCCTATGCAATTAAAAATATTAAATTATTTTTTTAGTTTTTTTATTTTTCTGAAACTTGAATGTATATGTATGTATATATATAAACTAATTTTCTCAAGAATGTATCAAAGTTATGTAATTTTTTTTTCTTTTTTTATACAACCTCATTCAGATGATTTTCTTAGATGAGCTTTGAATTATGTTATACTATAAACAATTCATAACGAATTTTTTTACTATTATATATTATTAGAAAGTATTTACTATTTTTTAAATATTTGTAATTAAAAAAGGTTTTATCAATCCATGCTACTTTTATTTTCATGCAGACATACCACAAAAAAGGTTTTTATTTTATTTGATGTCTATTACATTTTTTTGTCAGTTATAATTAATTTATACAAGAATTAAAACTCATATGTGTAGATATACATTTATATATTTATATAAATGAAAGCTGGTGAATCACCTATAAACTAACATTTTAAAGCTACAAATATCATGTTGGTAGATGAATCTCAGTAATAAAACTACATTTGTAACAATGAGTTTTTAATAATTTAATCCACTATCACCATGCATTTTGAACAACCATTGATATGTGTTTATGATTTTATAAAATATCAAAATCATACTTGAATCTAGAAACATTAGTTTATTTTATCATTTATAAAACAAATATATCTGTGATAATTTATAATTTCGATATCCATAGTCATGATTTTTAGCAAAAATTCAAACATTCTTAATATGTCTAATTTTCTATTTCAAATTCAAGTTTTTGATGTAGATCAAATTTTATATTTTGAGTAACATATACATTGTATTCCTTTAATTAAAAAATAATTTAGAATAAATTATTATTACTATTGTTATTATTTTTATTATTGTTTATGTAGTATCTTAATTTCTTATCTATAGCCATCTATTTGGCTATAAAATCATTAGACACAAGATCTTAAATTACTTTTGAAGAAAATTTAATATCAAATTCAAAGACAATAAATAGATGATGCATTAAAAGATAGCACTATCATTAAAAAGTTACATAATGAAAAGTGAAACCATCATGTATACTAATTTTCCTATAAAAATTAACATCTTTCAAAAATAATAGTGATATAACAATTAATAAATTTGTAGTAATTTTTTCTAAATTTCCTTGCATTAAATTTCATGATTTATTATCACTATTGCAAGTTTTATGTACATAGATAAATCTTACTTGTTGATTCTTAAATTTTTGTCATGATAATTATATATAGTGGAATGTTAAATAGACTTAGGTTTTTATTAAATCAACCTACCCATGATGAAGAACATGATAATCATGATGAATGTGGTTGGTTTTTATTGGTTTTTGATCTAGTAGTGGAGAAATGAATCTAGAAGTTATTTTCTTTTTTATATTGGATGGATCAATTTAGTAAAAACATGGGTCTATTTAACATTTCCATATATATATATATATATATATAGATGTATATATAATTTTTTGATGATAATTAATTTCTAATTTTATCAACATTGTCAACATCAACTTGATTTTGAAAACTTTGTTTTCATTATACTTTTATTTTTTAAATCTCATAAGTCATGGATTCCATCTTTTGTTATGGCTTTATAAACATTAGAACTTAATAATGTGAGCAAGTCAAATTCATATGATGAAGGTTTTGCAAAGATGAAATTGTAGAATTGACAAATTTCTCATTAATATCATTATATTTTGCAACTGTTACACCCAACAGGGCCAACTTTTCTAGCTTCTAGCATCTAGCTCCACCGTGAGAGAAGGTGGGGTGGGGGGACTGTGTACAGGAAAATAATGGCGATAATAGTCACAGTGATTGTCGACTGCAAGGAATCTTGTGGCTACGTGATCACTTTGGTAGCATTCAACACAAGCTGGCCAAGCAGGCGTCAGTGCATAGGAGCCTTGCATCACTAGTTTGGGGGTTCCAGTGGCAAAATTGCAATGTCAGACTGCCAAGATTATCATAAGTTGAGTGTCATGTATACATTGATAAAAAGCAGTTGTTGAGCATATGTTTTGCCTGCAGAGTCACTGATTGGCACAATCTTAAAAAGACAGATTCCAATCTATTTTAGCGTCCTATCATTGATTCGCTTGATTGGACTCATCATAAGAATGGTGGTCCCAACGAAGGAATTCTGCATGGAGTTTCTGGAGCTTCAAAGCTGGCACTCTCCCTTTCCTCAACGAGGCTTTGATGATGAGCGGGGTATCCTTCATGCCAATATTGACAGCCAATCAACCCAGCAATATTGACTCTACCTGAAGCTACTCTTGCACAACAACTAGCCTGGTGAGTAGAGAGTGACATGAACTGCTACTTGTTTCTAGATAGTAGTAAGCTCGGTCGGTTCTCGCATTCAGCACACAATCTCCATCTCCGATGCAGAAATCTACCTCACAATGGTAGGGTGTTACGGTTAGGAATTCGATGGAAAGCACAAAAATAAGTGGCCTTTAACTGAGGCTTCCGATCTTATCTAAGCTACCTTCAATCAGTTGCGATCTTGCAACAATAAGACTTGAATCTGGCCCACCTAATGAAGCTTGAAAGAAAAAGGTTGCATTCACGAGAATTCAAAGCTAGCAAGACCTTCCTGATCACCAGTGTCAGAAGTCAGCTCACTTGAAACAGCGCATTCGTATTTCTCAATTTGTGAAGGATTCTTTTATTTTTACTGTATCAAGGCTTTCCTGACAATACTTCACAAAGCAACAGCCTTGACCGAAGAAATTGTTGAAGTTGGAGGTAGAAGGTTTCTAGCCAACATCAAACACCCCATTCGTCTTTAAACGAAGTGTTGGGTTGGATACTCAGTGTAATAGGCATTGTAATCGTAATACAAACGCTCCCCTTTGAGGATGTCCCGCATAGCAATCAGGATCACTCGCGCTTCCCCGTTAATGCTGTAGCGGACACATCGAACGTTTTGTTTCTTCCTACCTTCCCTGCATCACAATTTTCCAACAGAGATTGAGAGGATGAAAACCTACAAGCTGCATACAGGATAAACACATTTTTGCCTTGTGACACATCGGATATCCTAACGAACAAAATTGGAAAATTAACGACCTCATTGAACTAGAACAATGATTTTGGAGCATGAATTTCCAACATTAAATAGCTATAAACTTCAAAGATACAGCGACTGAAACTCGTCATACACCTCCAGGACCATTTTCAGCAGTTGGATCTCCAAGGTTGAAAGATGCCCAGCCTTGGAGACCCAAGCTCTGAAATCGCTACCAGTGGATAAGTTCCAACATTAGCCTCGATCCAAAGCTGCACCAAATGGTAAAATGGCAAAATGGTGGAAAAAACAGAATTCACAAGATTCCCTGAGGTGGACGCTAATGCTGTCGTAGGTTGTCAGCTTCCAACGTTGGAAGCATCTACTACATGGGCTCAAAAAGCCAAATAACACAGAAAATTTCTGTAGATGCTAATTAAAAATCCTGATTCTGGACATCTTGATGTCTGGGGCACCTTGTTCCAAAAGAATGAATCAGAACTTCACGAGACGATCTCAAGTTCACACCTAAAATGAAAATATTTATGGGTATACAAGAGCAAGAAATGCTTGCGAGTATATTCCACATGAATTCATCCATTCGAAACTTACTCTGTATGATTGTTGATGCCTGAGAGAAACCGAGCTATATTGCTACGCTTATCTGGGCAAATAACAAGCTCCTTAATAGGGTCATCACTGAAAAGAAGACCCATGATGCTGTTCCCAGAATCGTAATGGCGGCAACACATATAGTCAACCTCTCCCGTATATTCGGCAATGAATGTCATATCCTTTATGTCCTCATCTGCCTCTACCACAAACCTACAGCCATTGCACATTAAGTCTTATTCTAAAGAAACAACACAAATCATCGTATAAGGCATGCACAAAGCCTTCTTGCAGAAGTATTCCATTAGGTATGCACAACGCAGCCAGAGGCTGCGAAAGTTCATACCAGGAGCTAAATATTTATATAACTGACATCTCGACCTGCCATAAGACCTTACGCTCTTTTGGTTCAGGCACTTTTTACCAAAGAGGATTCAGAATAGTACCCCTGTCGCATATCATAAGCAACCGTCAATGGTTGCCACAGCCCACTCTTACACATAGCCTTACATTTATCAAAAGCCTCCTTGTCATCCCTTGGCATCTCCTGTCATCAAAACATATACATTCCATCAAAAACCCACTTTTCTAATGTATTCCAAAGTGCTAAATCGCACGATAGACCAGAAAAAGCCCACAAGTACATTCAGAGATATACTGTTTTTAAGTATAAGGTAAAAGCGCTGCAACTCTTTAGGAAGCATGAAAAAAACTGAAATTGTTAGCGAGGTTACGCATGAAGGACTGCGCAGGGTCGTTGCGAGGCAGCCATCACCACTGGAAGAAGTGCAAGGTTCAGTATCACCACAAGAGTAGGCGCTGCATCAAAAGCAGCATGCAATAAATCATACTGCAAGTATTAGTGGGACAAGATGGCTGTGGACATAACGTAAGTGTAAAAAGTAAAAGGATGCGTAGTACCCGCATGCCACCTTTCTCATGAGCAGCACGATTGGCGGTACGTGGGGCATATCTGTAACTCAACGAATCAGAAAACTGTACACCAATGCTAGTGAGGGCAGTAGCCAAGGAGGCCATTTGTTTTAGCCTTCGCTGTGGATCAATGGTCGGAACGTAGGGCAACAATCTTCTGCCCCTCTTTGGTGGACAAAAACTAAAAGCACTCTGCTTCTTCCGTTTTTTCCTCTCAATAGCCTCCGTGACTGCAGTGAATTTGTGTAGTAGTAAGCAGCAGGAAAAAGAAGACTGCAAAAATGACGAGACAATTGCAGTACAATCATAAATACTGAGAAAGGTAGTGATGCAAGGGAAAATCTGACATGACTGAGCGAGAGTACTAAAATGAAAGGAAGGGCTAGATGAACACCTGATTTGGAAGGCAATAAATTCTGGATGCGAAAATAGTCCACAATTTTTTTCTGCACCATTAGAAATTCTACAACCCACACAAGAATGTCAATCATGGCAGCCTCGATTGTATCCCTCTCAACTGCTAGGTAGTGCATATACTACTATTGGCTCGGCAATATCACTACCTTCATGACACAGCACGGGTTGAATAGCACGATTTGGAGAACGTTGGACTCACTAGTTTCATCTATATATGTAGAAATAGGGCTTACAAAAATCTTGCAACACTAAAGTCAACAAATCTAGGTAGTAAATCGATCATTCGTAAACTAAGACAGCAACCAGTTTCGTTATTGTAATTTGACTTAGCACGGTAGATCGACACATCAACCAGTACCGCCAGCAAGTTCCATCAGTGACACGTTCAGACAAAACAATAGCCGGGGACTTGCTGAAAGCAACAAACAAATCAGAAATAAAGCGTGTCGTGGCGATGTTTTCGTAGTGACAGCTCAGCTCAACATGCTACAATTTAACAACTTCTCCTAAAGGTGGAAAATATCAACCCAGAATCAAGGTTCATAACTGGCATCTATCTTACACGGTTGAAATTGAGTAAAAAATCAGGAATTTCATTAAAGCAAGCAGCATGCGCAAGCAACTAGAACTTACCGTGAGCAATAGTAGATTTAGAACAATGTGGGCAGATCCAGTCACCAGGTGGTATAGATACAAGGATTGGGGACAAACAAAACATATGGAATCCTCGGTCGCATTGATCACAAAGTAACATCTGCTCTGCTGAGTCACCCCCTTTACACTCCTCACAGAGAGTGAGAGAGTAAGCTGAGGCAGGACCGTTAGTCCAGACAACCATTTCCGTCCCGACAACCTTTGTAGATTTCGCTTGCTCATCTCTCACAACTTCCTCCAGACTCTTCAAGAGTTTTTTGCGTTTTGCAACCCCGAGGGATTGTGCAACCGTAGTAGTCAAAACTTCCGAGAAATTTACTGTGGCTTTGCATTGGCGTAGATGAGGGGGTTCACTGCCCAGATCCTCAACAGCTAGAGAACTGAGAGCGGTATAGGTAGAGCTAATGCGCACTCTCTTTACCCTTCGTTCTTTGCCATAGGGTGATCTCTCCATTGGTTACGCCACGAAGCTCAGCGAACTCAAATCAATTTTTTAGGGTGATATGCGCATTGAAGGACAGTAACCAGCCGGGCTATGACAACACCTCGCGCACACCTGCCATGAACCGTTCTACATGAAGATTCCCCACCCCTGGTATAACCATTCCTTGGATGTCGATGCACCGTGAATTTGGGGTAGTGGACGAAAGACGAAGCACAGTGCTGCAAATACGAATTAGCAAAAGCATATTTAGGCCCGATTTACAAGATAATGCAGACAAAAGAAAACGCTGGACAGAGCATACGGAACAATGCCGTGCACAGTTTTACCTGCAACCCTATAACTAAGGAATACTAAAAGAAAGGACATTCTCACAGCTTATATCAATGGGAAGCACCTCGATACAAACCAACACCACAATATCCACGTACGGTTATACAGAAACAGATAGAATTCAACCAACCTAGTTCAAACAGAGGCGTTTGAAAGGGCGTCACTTCGAGGACTTGCCAATGCTCACTCCACAGTCCCGCAATGTCTCCAGGCTCCAAGAGCGGCGCCGCGACGAGTCTAATCGCAAACCACCTGGTCCGATTCGAATGGCCCACATGGACTATTCAATGTCTTGACCCAACGGGCTGACAATCCTGCACGTCGAGCAGAATGAGAGAGAACGATTCTGGGGTATACTGATGGCCACATCACGTGGACTACGATAATCCAAATGCAACACAGAACAAGGAAACTACTACGAGGACTAGAAGATATGGGATCCGTTCCCCCGACCGCATTTGAAGGATTTCGGCCATTTTCAAAGCAAGTTCCTCCACGCACCTTGCGACTCCATGCGATGAGACCCTTGGCGCTCGTGGAGCTTAAGATTTTGTAATGTCTATTGGTCACACGTGATTTCTTTTAAGTTGCTTCTGTTGGAATGCGTGTGGGTGTGTCCTACTGACGGTTAGTAAGGGTTTGGCATGATTCCGTTACCTCCTACCGCTGGACGGAAACCTTCGGTTGCATGTTGAAGGATGCGGGCATGTGAGTGCGATTATGAAGTGTGCTCTTCCACAACCTTTGTAGTGGGTCCAAAGCTTTTGCACCCCAAATTGAAACTCGGTTGTGGTGAATCATATAACCTGTGATTTCATGCCACTTTCCACATCCAAATTTCAATACAAATTACACTTTTCAAGTAAAAATGTGACTTTTGTCAACTGTAGAGTGAAACAGTCGGTGATCTATGCCCTTTAATGCTTTCGACGGAGTCTTTTTAAGATAGAAGATCCGTGGAGAGTTGTAAGTAGTCAACTAAGACTCAACAAGCGGGATTAATTTTTAGGGCAGGCAGGCGGATTTTGTCAACCTCGCTCAAAGAGCACCAATTGTCAGAATACCAAACCAAGTTCGGTGTTTGTGACGCGGCCTTTTTAAAGGGCTATAGACTAGTAGGCAGAAACCAAAGTGACGAAAATAGCCTCTCTTTTTAAAAAAGCCTGCATGTGTTTTAAGATTCCACCATTTGGCTCCAGCTTACAAAAGTCTCCTCAAGTGGATTACCCACCCGAAAGCACATAGAACGCACAAGAGGGGCAGCCAAAGATGTGAACACTGACATAAAATTAGTAAGCTTCACAACCCTTGGATCCTTGAACAACTTTAGACCAGTAAATTATCAGTCACAATTAAGTCTTTACATCTGCTGATAAAATACAAAGCAGTTGGCACTCTACCAACTGGAGGTACTGCAAACGGCAAGAGATGCGGTTTGTGCAGTGCTGCTGGGGGGGGCTTTTGGCAAAGGCTGATTAACTAACGTGACTACCCTGCAATTGAACAACTAACTTAAAGTAAGCCTGTCATGCCCATGGAGCAAAAGAGCACATCATTCAGGGATGGTGCTGTAAAAACAGCCAATAAATAGGCGCGAAAGGGCCAGAAATGGTTTCTTTCTGGACGTGGCCATGCAAAGACCTCGCCGCAAAGGCTTGAAAATCCAGAGCAACCTAAAGAAGTGAACGGTAATGGACGGAAGGGGCTAGAGGATTGAGGCCATAAATTCACTACTCAACAGTGCAGGCCAGAAATCCGGTTTCAGCCTAAAATCTGCGGAGGGTAAGAGTGACATAAGCTTACGGTAAGTGGTTATTGATGTCGGAGACAAATCGAGCTATATTGCCACGTCTATCTGGGCAGATAACAAGCTCCTTAACAGGGTTGTCGCTGAAGAGAAGACCCATGATACTGTTTCCAGAGTCGTATTGGCGGCGACACATGTAGTCAACTTCTCCAGTATATTTAGCGATTATTGTCATGTCTTTGATGTTCCTATCAGCCTCAAAAACAAACCTGCAGCACATAGAAATAATTTGAATGTTGGATGCCTAGTCGCCCATCAATTACCCATAGAACAGCAAATACAATATAACAGTCAAAAGATGACTGGCTCGGCCATTGCAAAGAATCTTAAAAAAATACGAGGAATGATTGAGGTATAGGCGGAATCAAAGTGCTCAAAATCGACAACCAGGTTATAATTTCAGTAAAATACGGTAGCTAATCAGAGTTATGAAATTCACCCATTTCTGATGACTTACCCTTGTCGAGAATCGTGTGTAACCATTAAGGGTGGCCACTCGCCATGACTGCACATAGTCTTACACAAATCAAGAGTTGCCTTATCTTCCTTACACATAACCTGCCAGCAGCAGCGTGTGATTATTACTAATCTCAAGACAGGAACCTCAGGTTTTCCTAAACTTGAGATATCCCTGCACCGAAAGGCCAGGAAGCAGACGAGAATGATTCCAACACAAATATATTCGGATTAGTCATCAGGAAGCAACAATGTCTCATTTGTAAAAGCTTCGAACTGGATAAAAGAGCGTCCCACATTGACATGCTCAATCCGACGCAAATTGAAAGTGTTGTTGGAATCTGTCACGTTCATCTACAAAAAATATACTAGTTGTACTGCATACCATTTGACAAAGAGTCCATCTATTAACAAAAAGAGGCGAAGACAATTAAAAGGATATAATTTGAAAGGAGAAAACTCAGGAGGCGAGATCGAATGATTAATCAAATTATCTTACCTGCATGCCACCTCTCTCACTATCCGCGCGATTGGAAGACCGTGGAGTCAAGCGATAACTCAAAAAATCAACGAATTCAACGCCTATGCTAGTGTCTGCCGTGGCCAGAGAGGCCATTTGCTCCAATCTACGCTGCGGGTCATCACATGGAACGTAGGGCAGTAGTCGCCGGCTTCCTCCACTCGGTCTACGTCGTTTCCTTGTCTCCAAGCACTTCACTCCTGTAAATAAAAAGTTGAGGATATTAAGCATTGAGGGGAGAGGGAGAAGGAAGGGAACATTCTAAAACTGCTCCATTCATTTGGGTGTGGGCTATTTAATTTGCTCCATTCATTTGTCTCAGGAGAATGCCACAAAATTAAGTCATAAGTGTCAGATTGTGCGTGAATCTCTGTTTAATTCTTCGCGTGGAAGGACCCATACCAGTAAGGATGTGATGTGCTAAATAATCGAAACTTTTCATGAAACCAAAATATTAAGGAAAGTAATGTTGCAGACTACATACAGTAAAAGGGGACGGCTTCTGAATGCGAAAGAAATCCACTTTCTTCTGCACTTTAGGGAATTCTGAATTCATACCACGAGGGTCATAATTCATCCCACATGAGACACTTTCAATAAAAAGAAATAGCGAAAATGACACAAGGACGTTTTGAATATTTTCCACGTAATCGCATTCGATTCTGGTCAAAGAAACCTCATTACTCATACTTCTCTCCGTCCCTTCTTTGAAGCAGATCAACCCAGGAGAAAATATATATGGCATGGAGGAGTATGAAATATAAAACTTCGACGACACAAAAAACACTAATAAGTCTCACAAAAAACCACGTCACATGAAAATACCCAGGCAAATTTCATTAAAGAGAATACCTTCGGAACCATAGTGGTATAAACCTACTTCAGCTTGCCGATTGCACTCAATACAGCGAATTTCCAGAAAAATATGATTATACATTCTGAGTATTCAATAGAACAGGTTGAAGAACATACCCAGCACACACGAAGATTAAGCACATTTGGAGTATAACCATTTACCAAGCGGTACAGTCGGGAGGATAGGGCTCAAACAGTACATGTGATATCCTCTGTCGCAGCGATCACAGAGGAGCATTTCCTGTTCTCCATCACCGCGTGAACACTCTTTACACCGAGTATTGTAGTACTTATCCTTTTTGAGCTTCTTCAAGGATCTCATGGCAACTTTCTTCACTGCTTTCACTCTCATCCCGCACTTCGCTCTCTCTCTCGAGCCACTACCGGCTGCCTACTTGCCTTATACGCCTTGGATCCCTTGGTCTGTGGGACATCCTTGGGAGCCTCATGAACAGAAGCAACGGGCACCGCCTTGCAAGTGCTCGGACTCGACTTGAATGTGGTGGAGCAGGGATTGATCTTCTCGAATGCAGGCAGACAGCAATTGTGCCAGCCATTGCGACATACAATAACTCTCTTCACCCTCTTTCCTCTACCGCATACCTCATCCTCCATTGCTGTATGTACTCGACTCCCAATCCTCAGTCCACCACGACCGAGTATTCATAAATCATTGATAGAGTTGACAATCACCAATGCTGTTGGATGTCAGAAAATCGCACCCTCGTCCCAGAACATTTGTAGGATTTTGCCACCGCATGGTTATATAAGCTCAATCGAGTTTCCGTCAGAGAGCCATGGAATGGCCCAGTCTGGAGCATGTGTTATTGCTTGTGATAGTGAAGGAGCGATATTCCTTCAAAGACTTCCCCATTGAGGTCAAGAAAGAGTAAGAAAATGAAATAACAGTGTCTTGACATTGGCAATTAGATCAGAGAGATTGTTACAGAGTTTGGGCCATAGCTAAGCCAAGATTAGCGTAGTGAACCCAATATATAAGAGATAATGGACATCGACAAGCAAATACCACTAATGCACATAACGGAAACCAAGAGAGTATGTGTCAACAATAATGAGAACGGGGAGGGTGATAGGAAAGGCTCTCAGGGTTTCACTCAACAGTCCCAGTCAACGCTAAATGACAATGTGGAAGTGATGGCAGGAGGCCACCACAACGCAAGAACAACAACGGCTACAATGTGCCCTTCGTTACCATGGAAAGCAATCTCAAACACATCCAAAACTTCCCGACTAAAATGGCCAACATGGCGACCAGCCTTCACACGCTCCAAGCATACCCGTAATGGTCACTGATAAATGCCGATCCTCCTGGAGACGACCCACTAAAGATTCCTCACTGCAGAACTCAACCCCTTGGGGTCACAATGCGAACGCTGCCTCAAAACATCCCCTCAAGATACCGTGACCCTTTCTAAACACGAAACCAACTCCCTAAGAGACTCAAAAATCAATATCTACTGACGTTGATGCATAGACAAGAATTACCGGCGCTCTAGAAACTACCAGAGAACTCCGAATACAATGAAAATTAAAATGTGCACACGGTTGAAGGGAAATCCACGCCCAACCAGGAACTCAATATCACGTAAACACTAAACCACTTGAAACAAAGCTGCGAGTAGAACGAAGGGCCGAGAGAAACGAAACAAAACAGCACCAAAAGATAGGGGGCGGATGTCTACACCAACAAGGTTATTGATAGGCTGCGAGTGATGTAGTATGCATTCCTTTAGGATGCCTACAAGTGCTAGAGCATTAGCCCTCGAGGGTTTCAAGTAAAAAACATGTGGGTCAACAGCGCAACAACATCGTATCACCACCAAGTCCTCGCAGGAGCAGCTTACACCAGAAAACTTTACCCGAACGGAATGGGGTTTCCCGAAAAGGCAATTGGTGCATTTCAACCATTGGTCGCCAGCTTAAATCCGAGAGCAGGAATGGTGTGACGTGCGCACAGAATGCTGGAAAATCCTACATGTATAGCACGGAAAGAATGGTTACCTTTTCCCACCAAGAAACCCAGAAACAAGTCCCTGTTCCGGGGATTCTCCAGAGCTGCTCCTCATGTGATGTAAGAACACTCGCTGCAAAGTTCATGTTGCAGAAACAGTTCACGTTAATCTGGATTAATGACTCTGCAAGTTCCACAACCAACCATGTTAATTATAACGTTAACTCAGGCTCCATAGCTGATTAAACCTGCCATTTCAGTTAGACCAAGTTAGACTGAAGACATAAAAATGTTGAAAATGTAGACCTTTTTTCTCTTTAACAGTTGGCAGAGCTGCCAACTAGGCATCAGTTGAGCATTGCAACCAGCATAGTTGCGAGAAGGAAAGCTAGTATTGTTCGAATGTGGCGACCTCTCCACTTTCTGAATGGAGGGTCTGCAACTTTTTGTTCACACCACTGCGACCAAGTATTCTCAATAAAAGTGACAACTCATAGAGAATTTTAGAATCCACCTGCAACCTTGGATGGCAGACAAACTACTAAATTAAGGAGAAGGCATGAAAAATCGGTTGGTTGTCCAGGGTCCCTGTGGTTCACTTCAAAGATTTGTTCATGATCATGGCATAGTGACTGAAGACTAGGAAAAGAATCCAACTAAGTCTAGCTGCTACTGTGGCAATTATTGAACAGATACAAGAAGGTGGCAATGGTAGACGTTGATCGCATCTGAGCAGGTGGAACTTGTCGAGAGTTTGATGAAGAGAGTTGAGACCAAGACCCTTTTCGTAGCCTGAAGGCTTGGCAGGAGCCTTTTTCTACAGCAACGAATAGAATGAGCAATTGCTTGCAGATTCATCTCTACTTCTAGCAAGAAGATCCTGCAAGACAAAACCCATGCATAATGCTGACCAATACCAAATGACGAACGAAAGTGCACAACATTTTGGAGTCAAGAGGAAAACCAAATTGCACATTAGAAAACCTTGTCGAATTCCTTCCAGGAACTGTATCGAAAATCACGATACACAGCAAAGGTTTCATCAGATGAGGTGACACATCACACGAATATTAAAGCCTTTGCGATTGCTCAAGAGAAAATCTCTTTGGTAGTCGCGAAATATATTGCATCTCCAGTAGTATACAGAGCCCAGAAAAAAACATCTCAAGAAGTGAACTATGTGAAAGCTCAAGAAAGCATGGCCTTCTCCAACACCTCCTTCAACTCCCCGCTCGAGTAAGCCGCTGCATCACATCCAGACACACTATTAATATAATGCCTAAAAACCTGCGAAACATTCCAGATTAAATATCCTGTTACTCTTATTCATTCTAGCAATTAACACCAGCTGCATCAAACAAAAATAAAACGATAATAGAAGTAAAGATTTGTACACAACGTTCTCCTGACTACTTTACTTCAATGCATATCAGAGTTCGGCAATTTCAGAGCAGAGATAATAAGTCTCTTGCCGTAAGTAATATCGCATCCTCCGAAAAATTCTCCGTCAATGTACAATTGTGGAAAGGTAGGCCAATCGGAATATTCCTTCATGCCCTGCCGCAACCTGTCGTCTTCTAGAATGTTAACAGTCTCGTAGGGAACGTTCAAGCTGTTGAGAATTCGCACACACGTATTGGAGAATCCACATTGGGGGAACATCTTATTGCCCTTCATGAACAAAACCACCTTGTTTTCACTGAGGTACTTGTCAAGAGCTTCCTTCATTTCCGGAGACAAAGCTGGCGTGCGCAATCCCACAGCATTCAATCAGCATAAGCTAGTGCGAAAACATGATAAAAATCAATATCACAAAATACTTTTGCAAACAAACCCTAAGTATTGTCACAAAAGCAAGTCTGATATGGTTCGAAATTTTATAAATGTGTTAACCACGGGCAGCGACAGCGTCCGGAAAGCTTGAATTTTTCAAAACAACGGCACGAACGGTTGTCGCAAAATCCAGAATTCATCAAATGCAACGGCAGACTGTTCAAACTATACGCTCCACCAGACACTTGACGGATATTCTATTGTAACACGGCAATGCTATCTCAAGCAAGGAGGCTAGTTGAGTATACCAAAGCCCAAGGCAACAGAAACAGTCCGCAAACATGCAAAATAGCACTCATAAGAACACCAGCGTAAAGGCAGTGAACACATAACATCCTGCGCACTTCTAACTCAATTCGAACAGATCCTGCGACTTTGAAAAGCATCGTAAACCCTCTGCCATTCGCGAAATTCCAAAAACTCCATCCGAAATTCTCTCGCAGAAAACTGAGAAAAAACTCTTCCAATCAAAACGCTGAAAAAAAGAATGAAGCCGACCATGCAGTACTGACGAAAATCGAATCCGAAGATATCCAATTGACTGAACCTCCCGCGTTTGATACTACTCCGACATCCACCGACTAAACACACTAATTCCCGAAAAAGGGGGGGTGGAGGTTATCCTCGCAAGCAAACCACTCACCTCCACCACCCCCCGAAGCTCCGAGGCTGGCCCGAGCAACCCCGCGCCTGACATGAAGCTCCCGTTGAGGCACCGCGTCTGACCATCCACCCGCTTGGAGCGTGAACCCCTTCCATGCGCACCTCAGGGAGGAGAGGCGTGTTGTAGAAACCCTGGCCACCGTAGCAGCCGCATGTGGCACGACGACGGGGAGGGCCTGCACGGTGGTGCGCATTGCGGTGGTCTCCATAGCTGCGATTCCTCGTGCAATTCGTGTGCTCGTCACGAACTCTCGAGGCCTGGCAGAAGCAGCAGCCTCAACCCATGCTATCCTCATTCATCCACGTTCAACCCACCAACATGGACGAGTATATCCAATCATTCGTTCGTTCGTCAGTCCTCCCTTTCTTCGCCTCTAGGGTTGGGAGGCGTTCCTTGGGTCCCTTGGAGGGGAGTGTCAGCATATAAATATACTACAATTTGTGTACTTAATATCTTATCAGCACACGTATAATAGCACTCATGGTCACTAATTGTCATAGCTACTAATATTATTCAATTAAATATAAGTGTTTAGAAATAAGCTAAATCAATTATATCTTTCTTGTTACAAAGTTACAGTAGACAATTTTAAGAAATCTATTGTTAGTTTGTTAATCCTTAAGTTCCTACTTACCTTTTTTTTTTTTAATGGAAGCAAGACAAAGATCATCCTCAATTCTTTTCTATACCTCCCTTTTTTTTTTTTTTTTTTTTTTTGAGGTTTTCTAATCTACATGTACTTAGATATATAATTCTGGTTTTTAAACTACTTTTTATTTTTTTTATCCTACTAATATTTACTGATTCTTTCATTTTAGTTTAATTTGAACTTTCAATTGGTTTACAAGACTACCACACAAAACAGTGAGAGCTTGATATGTTTTTAAAAATTATATTAATGATTATTTTTTTTGTATATTAAAATCATCAAAGAAACTTAAAATTTGTAGATTGACCTCTTCTAAAATGGTATTATCTACATGATAAAAGTTTTTGTAATAACAATAAAAACTATTTATTGTTATTATTATTATTATTACATGTAATTTTATTGTTAGCATGGAATATTTTAACCAATTAAAATATTTTATACTTATAGAAAAATTAATATAAATATAGTGACTTGTTGTACAAGTATACAAACAAGGAAATAAATTGATGCTTGCAAAGCCTCAATACAAATTACTACTAAAAATAAAATTAAGATTCATTAATTTAAAAGATACAAAAATAAAAAGATTTCTTCTAAAAACTATATTATCTTATATTATTTCTTTTATTATATATTTTTTTATGATTTTGTTAGATCTATTAAATACTTTGCATTTATTTTACTTATTTTTAGATGAAATTAGATCTAAATTTTAAAGATTCATCAACCAAGTATAATTTATAAATGAACTTCTTTATAAGTAATATGTAATTGATCAAATATAACTATTATTAAAATATTATTTTCTATTTTTTTGTTATCTTAGATTTAATTTTTTCAAAAAATGGAATCTAAATAAAAAAACAAATCAAGCAGTTTTTGCAAATATTTTTTATATTTACAATGTGTGAAGTAAAAAATATATTTGGGCAACTACAATCTAGATATTGCATGGTTTTTTTTGAAGTTCAATTTGTTAATATATATATATATATATATATATATACAGTAAGAATAATACAATTTAATTCTTGTTTATCAATCATATTTAATTTTATTAGATTTTTAAATAATCCTATAATTTTTATATTTTATTGTATTTTTTATAAATAAAGTTTATTTAAAAATATAATTGGTGTTCTACAACTAGATTTTTTCTTCATTTATCTAAAAAGAATATCACAATAAATCTTTATATTCTAAAATTGACTTTATAATTATGTAATTGATTTAAAAGAAAAACTAAACTACAATTTGGATCACTATATAAAATTATTTAAAAGTAAATAGATTTCTTTAAAAAAAATACTTTAATATGTACTAGACAATTTTTTAAAATTCAATATCCATAGTTTTATTTTATTTTTATTTTTTAAGTGCATCATATTTTTTGGTAAATAATTGATTATGTGTGCAAAACATTATAAAACCAACAAATGAACTATCAAAAGTTTTTCTCTTCTGCATGTAATATCTAATTCTTTTAGCCAACTAAGTTAAACTATAATTGATGTAAATAAATACCTACTAGAAACATACATATATTTACTAAAACCCATGAAAAGAGTTAAATAAAAAGTGGTGTTCTAAACTAAAAGTTTATTAAAAGCTGAATGACAAAGCATGTCTATACTGATTTGATTCATTTACAAAACTTCTCAAAAACCTAATTGCCTCAATGCTTGAAGTGATTGTATGCTTTGGAAATACTTCAATTACATTATATCTCTCAAATTTTGCCCCTATGACATGTAACAAGCTGTCAAAACAATCTTCACTACATTAGATTATTGAAAAAAAAAAAAAAAAAAAAAAAATTCCTTGAATCAACTTCAATCCTAAAGCTCAAAGAACTATTCGTACTCTTGTCACAGAAGTTCCGACATAGCTAGTTTATTCGAAGTTCCTAATAAAGCGAAACTCTTGCCGACAAAGGTGGTTTAAACCTCAATAGAGTTGTACATGTGATTTGTCTCCGTGTCAAAAGGGTTCACAACGAGTGTGTTCCCTGTTGCTAAGCATGTGTGATTTCCTGTGAACGCGCTGAATGTCGAGAACCTCCAGAATGCTCGAATTAGTTCCCAAAGCCTGACAAGCTTCATTCACATTTGCCTTCATTGTTCGATTAAGTTGCATCGCCCCCATCGTTGTTGCTTCTTCTTCACTGTGCATCGCGGTTTGTGTTGCGATTGTTTGTATTTGGTGGCGAAGTCAAGTGTGATTTCCGAGATGGACCAGGGCATGCCCGCACCGCCTCCCGAGTCTGTCACTTACCTGTGTGGGGATTAGTTCTGTTCACTTTGTGTCTTTCTTCGTTGCGCCATTAGTTCATGAGAGGAGGTAGTGCGAGTCGGTTTTTTTTGTCTCGATCTTCCGAATTAGGGTTCATGCGGTATGTGTGTTCTTTTAAAGGCATTTTGGTAGAGAAGACCTTCGTCGTGGTGCTGTTGTATAGATTTTGGAATGTTCCGGAGTTTCCTGGCAGTTTAAGTGTGCGGGAGCGGAAGCTGAGCAGCCATGGTGTCGCCACGGTAGTATCAAGCAGGCGTTGGAGCGCGCACGTTAAGCGAGGTGAGTGGGCCAAAACTTGTCCCAAAAAGATGCACACTGGGAGCAGTAAGAGTGTGGAGAGATTGGAGAGGATGTTCTGCGGAACCGCCGAGCAGCGTTCAGACATCACGATGAAATTAGATCGCGCGCTTTAGTACCTCGGTAGGTGGTCTCGTGCAGATGTGATTCTCTTGGGAGGGTATTCTTGCTAAAAATTACTATTGATTTGACACGCTGCAGTTGGACATCTGTGGCATCAGCGGTTTTACATCCTGCTCATACTATTCTGTCATCACATCCGTTGTAGTCTATATGGTCAGGATACTCGGCTCTCGCCCGAGCGACCCGGGTTCGAGTCCCGGCAACGGAAGCTCCCGAGTGTTACTTGTCTGACTATACTCTTTTTGATTTATCGTTTGACTAATTGTCTTGAATGTCTGCCCCATTCCGCGTCGCAGTACTCTGGCGAGAACCGAAGCCAGGGGTGCCTTCACAACGTCATCTTACTGTGGCTCTCTCCATTGCTCCATTCATAGAATGGAATCCATAACTCTGAATAAAGCACAACAAATCTCCAATAAATAACATCGAGTATTACAAACTAGTCACAAAGTATGTAATCTAAACCAAATATAAGAATGCACCCAACACACCTTCAAGGAAAGATTAGATATCTAAACCAAACGAAATCAATTCATACAATAGATTTGCTATATGAGCATAGTGAAGAATCCAAATATGATAGGATACATATGCATCCAAAAGCCTATACATCTCTATTAAAGAATTGCAATCTTTTTTTATTCTTTCAAGTTGAATTTCCTCAAGCAAAGTCAATTTTTTTTTATAATCTTATATATGATCAACAACATACTTGCGACACCTCATCTTATCTAAAGTTTCATCCTTGTCTTCTTTTTTACATCTCTTAGTAGGGACATCATCTAAAAAAGACAAAGACTTTTCAAGAATAAAATCTCCAAATATCTTGTTCATCTTGTTCATCATATGTGCAATTGAGTTAGTAGCACCTTGAGGAAGAGTATACATTTTAACTAGCCTAAATAGTATTCTTATTGTTGTCATATCTCTACTCCCTTGTGCAAGTTGAAATTGGCTATAGCTTGAATATAAATCACTCATTGAATAAATTATCCTTCCTACAAATGCTTTAGCAAATTCATCCACTATTGATCAAATTCTTACATTTTTAATAGTCACTTCATTTACTTGTTGTATATCTTGAATAAATTGTAATGATCCATTTTTCTAAGACTTTGTAAACCATCAAATAAAATATAGTACAAAAAAGAGTTTCAAAAATATTATCTTTATCTTTTCTTTCAATAATTCTACCAAGCTTGGTAAATATGCCCTTAGTACTAGAATTGGCATCAAATTCTAAAGTATATGTGGTATAGTGAAAATAATTATAGGCATTATATTATTTTGATCTATACACCCAATTTTATGAGATTCAAAGGCAAATGATTTACCTTGATTTACCTTGATTTGCCAAGATTTCTTTGAAGTACACAATTTTCTTTGGCAATAAAGAACCATCAAAATCAATCTTCAATTCTTCAAAAGTCTCTTTAATGAACTTGTGTTTAATATTCTTTAGATTCATTAAGCTCTTTTTCTTTGATATTTTTTATTTTTTTTTATTTTTTAGAATCTTCTAGCAAAGATTTAATAATGGATTTTACTTTCTTACCTACTATCTTATATTTTATTTCAAGCATAACCTCTGGTGCTTGAAATGATTTAATCATATCATAAACTTCTCTTAAATGAATTTGTATAACTTTATCATTGCCACTTAATCTAATAGATGTAATTAATTTCAAAGGATCTTCTAATCTATTTCTTCATAAATACTAGTAAATTTTTCATTATTTTCTAATATTTCTAATTTACACAATTCTTTTTCAGTAGTATATATTTTTTTAATTCTTTCTATATATATATATTACTTTCATTTTTAAAAATACTAATAAATCTTGCATAAAATGTACAAACATCTTATAAGAGCATCTCCTTTTATATACTCCTGAAATCTTATTTTATAATAGTATTTTCCAAAAATCCTTAAATTCTTGAATAAC